AGTTCATAAAGTCTGCGGCCTTTCATTTTCAGTTTTTAGCTCTTGGGCAAAACACTTGCCCTCTTTCTGTCTCTCAGTTATCTTACCTGTAAAATGGAGATTTTATATATATATATATATATACATATATATATATATATATATACATATATATATATATATATGTATATATATATTACCTACCTCAAAGGTTTGCTGTAGCTATGACACCCTAGAAGCCGAAAGTACTATAACTATTATTATAGTAGACATAATAATCATTGTTATTCTCAGAAAACATAAAGGAAAAAAGAAAACAATTTCTTCTACATGCTGAGTGGTCAGGTTGCATAGTGGTCATTGGACTTGAAATCAAGAAACCTAGGTTTAAAAGCCATCTCTGCCATTTACAGAGGCAAGTAGGTGGCAAAGAGGCTAAAACCCTGGATGTGGAATCTTGAAGATCTGAGTTCAAATCGTGCCTCAGACACTTCCTAACTAAGAATCCCTGGGCACATTCCTTATCCTCACCCAGCCTCAGTTTCCTCATCTGTAAAATGAGGATACTAATAGCACCTATTTCACAGAGGGTATCATAGGGATCAAGTGAAATAATGTATGTGAAGTGTCTTATAAAACTTAAACCACTTTCAAAATGCTAGCTATAATAAGAATGATTATTATTATTATTATTACTAGCTACGGAATCATAGGCAAGTCATTCTGTCTTCTATAATCCTGTTCTTTAAAAGGTAGATAATAATCTCTCTTACTTTGTAGAATTGTTGTGGGCAAAGTGCTTTATAAACCTTGAAGCATTATTGAAATGTCGTGATTATTAATGTGTTTAACTCATTCAGCAGACCTTCCTACTACCTTGTAGTCCTTCTTCATCCTCTGTCACCTGCCTCATGGGAGGATATTTATTAGTTAAAATAGGAATCATCATATCCTCCGCTTGAGAGATGAGAAACATTGCCATCTAGAAGATTAAGTGACTTGCTCAAAGTCACTGTGAGATTAAGTAACAGGTCAACATGGAAACTCAGATCTCTTACTTCGGTTCCTCAGCACCTACCCTCTAATCACACTGCCTTCCCTCCCTCAGATATTTGCTGTGGCTTAAAATGCACCCAAGTTGTGCTTTTGCAGATCTGATCATGTTTTGAGATACAAATGCTACACTTTGGCAAATTATTTATAGCTACATCTCTAGCATAGAGATGGCGGCTTGTCTTTCAGACAAGAGAGTATGGCGGAATGGATAGGACACAGGATTTAGAATCAGGAAATCTAGGTTTGAATCTCAGTCCTGCGAATCACTAGCTATGTGACTTCAGAAAAGTCTGTTTCCCTCTCTGAGCCTCTGTTTCGTCCTCTGTAAGGAGTTTATTGGATGAGGCAGGGCCTAAACTAGGTTAGAATAATTAGATCTTTGCCATAGGCAGAAAAATTTAGAGAGCCCCAAAAGCACTCTTCCAAGCTGTGCTTCCTACTCCTCTATCCTCCATGATTGTTCCCTTCTCTCTCTCACAGTTACAAAAATGCCTTGTTATGGTTCTGGGGCTAGGCAACCTCTGAGGACCCTTTCCATCTCTAAGTCCAATGCTCCTAGAGAGGATAATTTCTGGAAAACAAATAGGGGATGAATGAGAAAAACCAAACCAAGAAAAGTAGAAGGCATTGAAATCAATAAGATTGGGGGTGGAGGGGAATGTTGCAAATTATGGCCTTTGCTTCATGGTTACATTTGTGCACAATGAGGCTGCGTAAATATATTCACCCAATGTTAGGCTTAGAATTCTTACAAGCAGCATTCGTGTGGCTCTTTTTCATCTTCTTCAGCAGAGCCATGGATGGCTACCCTTTGAAGTCAGGGAGAGCTGCACACCCAGAAATTCAGGGTGTGGAAGAATATAGAGAAAGACAAGAATATGTACTCATATGTATTTCATGCAAATAATTGGAGCCAAAACCTGTATCTCAAAGGCAGAGATCAGCACCCTGAATGCAAGTTGACGCTGAAATGTTATTAGCATTTAACTTCAGAAAAAAATTACTATAATCTTCTCTCTACTGGACTCTCACCCATTTACTGAGGCTGACATGATCATTCTTCAGCAGTGTTTTGTCCAGGTGATCCTCTGACCTTTGTTTTCCCTCTAGTTGCTTCTCATCACTCTCTGAAATCTGAGCTCATTCATTTATTTGTTCACATAAGAAACGTTTATTCAGCATCTCTAGTACTGCATATATAATACTGAAGAAGATGCAGAGTTTACATATAATACGGTCCCTATCCTCATGGAGCATGCTGTCTATTGAGGATAAATCACAAATACAGACAGATATCTGTTAACATATATCACATAATAATTGCATTGGAAACGAACAAAGTACTCTGTGAGTTCCAAGGAAGAAAGGTCATTAACACTGGAGACATTGGGAAGACTTCCTTTCTAGAGAAAGGGTTCTTCTCTTTGCTCTGCCTCTTACTGCCTCGTAACCTTAGGCAAGTTAATGTCCCTCTTGGGGGTTCAGTTTCCTCAGATGTAAAACTAGTTCATCTCCAAAATTATCCAATCTGTTTCCAGGCCTGTCAGTTTTTCCTTTGTAGAATCTCTCATGTATGCCCTCTTCTTTACTCTGAGACAGGTACAGGCCCTTATCACCTTATACCTGAACTATTGCGATAGCCTACTGGGTGATCTTCCTGCCACAAATCTCTTCCCACTCCAGTCTATCCTCTACTCAGCTGTCAGAGTATCAGGGTACCTTATAGTTCACATATTTGTACATGTACTATGTTTTTGTTATTGTTGTTCAGTCATGTCCCATTCTTCGTGACCCCATTTGAGGTTTTCTCGGTAGAGATACTAGAGTAGCTTTCCATTTCCTTCTCCAGCTCATTTAACAGATAAGGAAACTGAGGCAAATAGGATTAAGTGTCTTGGCCAGAGTCATACAGCTAGTAAGTGTCTGAGACTGGATTTGAACTCAGGTCGTCCTGCCTCTGGTCCTGGCACTCTATCTACTGTACCACGTGGCTGCCCCACATATACTTCGTAAGCTCTAGTAAATTGGAAACACCTTGAAGCCACAGACTTGTTCATTTTTTTAACTTTATACTCTGAATCCCAAGTGCAGGATCCTTCTTCTAGTGCAAAGGTTCTTAACTGTTTCTGGGTCTTGGACCCCATTGGCGGTCTGGGGAAGCCTATGGACCCCCTTCTCAGAGCAATGCTTTAAATGCATAAAATAAAATACATAGAATTACAAAGGAAATCAATGACATTGAAATGCAGTTGCCAATTTTTTTTTAAATTATAGTTCACAGACCGTAGGCTAAGAACCCTTGATCTAATAGCTGCTTAGTAAGCACTTCTTGACTGAATGAATGGATGTACTGAGTTCTACCCTCCTTTCTGCACTTATGTACAACCACCCCTAAATGACATTCCAAGCAAATTCCTCTTTTGTGTCTTGACAGAAAGAATTTTTTAAAGGCTGTGAATTCGTAGGAACACGGACCTAGATCTGGGAGAGACCTCAAAGGACATCTAGACCAGCCTTCTCATTTTACAGATGAGGAAGCTGAAGCCCAGGGAGATTAAACAATTTGTCCAAAGTAAACAAGACACACTGGAGAGGAGATTTAAATGCAGGTCCTGTGACTCCCAAGTCAGTGTTCTTCCAACTACATCCACCCCTTCACCTGCAGTTGAACATCCTTAAGGGCGGGCTCCACCCCCTCTGGGTTTGTCAGCCTATCTTGATGCCAAGTACATGACTACTTGTGATAAATATTCTTTTGATTCCATTTTTTACCTAACACACCAGGGACCCTTGCTTAAGGCCTGTTTTGTGTCTCAAATCTGTAAGCCTCAGGATTAAGGCTGATAGATTGCTGAATGTGCCAACTTTTTAAGTTGTCTGTCATCCAGTATTGGCTGCCAAGTATGATAGCTCAATAGCTAGGTACTCAAGAGAAACATGATGGCTTCTTATCAACTGTATAAAGACTCGCATTCTACAGAAAAGCAGAAAAAGGAGAAGGTAAAGATGGTGGATTATGATGAGGGTGACAGAAGGTAGAACATGGGGTTAATTTTGTGTGGCATGGATAGGAAGGTGGTAAAGAAAGTGGAGAAATACACGAGCCTCTCAAGGAGTATATGGAAACCTTCCTAAAAGAGGGGAGATTAGATGTGCTTAAAAAAAAAAGTCAGGAAACATGTTCAAATCCCTGCATCAACACTTCCTAGCTCTGTGACCTTGGCCAAGTCCATCCACCTTTGGAGCCCTCTGTTTCCTTGTCTGTAAACAATAGGTATACCACCAATGGACTGGGTTCAAAGCTTTATAAAGCTTCAAGTGCTCCAAATAGACCTTCTGCCTCTGCTGACCTTGCTGAGAGATAGCAGTTTGGTACAATGGAAAACATGTTGGATTTGGACTCAGATCCTGCCTCTGAACCTACACTGGGCAAATCGCCTAACCTCCCTATGCCTCAATTTCCCCATATGTAAAATGAAGGAGGTCGGACTAGATGATATCTAAAGTCTCTTCCAATTCTAAATCTCTGATCCACTCTTTCAGCCTCAGTTTCTTCATCGGTGAAACAGGAACACCCTGTTTTGTACTCACTGTTTTTCATAGAGTTGACATGAGGCTCAAATACAATCTATATAAAATGCTTGGCAAACCTTAAAATGCTATGTAAATGTCATCTGTTATAGAAATGTGGATTATTATTAAACTGAGGATATAATTGTAAGCAGAGTTGTCAAACCAAGGGAATTGCCAGGAAGGGATGCTGAAGGAGAGACTAAATCAAACTGAGTTGCTGAGCGCTCGCACAAAGCAAGACCAGAGACTGGGGAGGTGGACCAGATGTGCTGCAAACTTGAGCAGACAACTAGAAATAGAGCATGTAGCAGGCTGTGTTGTAGTGGGGTGGGGGCTTTATGACTTTGTGGGTCACACCAGCTTCCTAATATTCAGGAACCAAACCCTTACAGGACATTGCAAGGATCCTGTCAAGGAAACATTCCATCTACCAGGTCGTTATTGAAATGAAAGGAACTGGAAATCAGCATTACACCATAGAGAATGGCTGTGCCTCACCTTACACCAGCACATGGAAATCAGTAGCCAATCTGAGTGAGTGGAAAGCCATATTTTTGCATCTAAAATAAGCCAACCCACGCTATTCTTCAGGGCACTGAGGCTTTAAGTATGTCCTAGAACTAGACTATCCTGTCTGTCTATCACTGAACTAGCCTTGCTAGCTGACGGCCAAGATGCTTCTCTCTCTTTTTTTTTTATTCTGAACTTAACAAACAACAAATAAAATGGACATTTGCATATATATAGGAGGACAGAAAAAGAGGATTGTACATGAAATCACAGATCTCTATGAAGTACAGCTTGCTTTTTTTTTTGAAGTATGTAATAAATTAAGCATATAACTTTCAAAGCCATCCTGCCTCTCTGTGATTCCTTCTGGCCCTCATTCTGTTTTCTTCTAAGCATTTTTTCCCAAAATACTTCAGTGATTTCCTTTTCTTTTTCTTTTTTATCTTTTCCCTTTCCCCCTTCTTTTCTTTTTTTCTGCTACTCTATTCCTCCCATCTTAACCTCTCATCCCCCTATCTCCCACCAGCTGGAAGAAAAAAAAAACAAAGCCTTTATTATAAATATACGAAAGCAAGCAAACAAATTCCCATGTTGGCTAGTTCCAGAAAGTCTTATTCTAAAACCTGAGTCCATCATTTCCTTGTCAAGAAGTGGATTGTATACTTCATTGTCAGTCCTCTAGAAACAAAATTGGTCATTGCATTAAACCAAGCCCTGAGATGCTAGTCAACAGAGAAATGGCCACCAGGGAATGATTTGTATAGTTGTTGGTTTATTTTGGTCACAACAACCCACTAAGAACTGTGGCATAAGGTGTTGGGGGTGGGAATCCCAAATTGTTGACATCACAAATCCTTAAAATATTGATGTATCTTAACAAGCAAGCAAAGTCCCAGTGAGGATTTCATCCTGAGACCTGATGGTGACAGTCTCTTCGGTCAGGTGAGCTATTCCCAGTATGAAGAGCCCTGGGTTTAATATAAGCAGACCTGGGTTTGAACTCCATTTCTGATATAAACTGTCTGCATGACCTAGGGTAAGTCACTTAGCTGCACCAGAACTGGGGTTTCCTCATTTATAAAATGAGGGGGTTGAACCAGATGCTCTCTAAGATCCTACTAGCTCCTGTGTCCTATGCTCATATTCTTTCAAAAAAGATTTTATTCTTTCCTTTGTCCCCTTTTCCCTAATTCATTCCTGCTCTGTGTTAATACTTTTGTACAAAGCTTCTCTATTGGAGATGGAATGGGGAATACTGTTTCTCAAAGATGGAGTAGGCAACACGTACACCCTACAGAATGTAAGCTGCTAGAGGTCAGGAGCTATTTCATATCTGTCTTTGCATCCCAGGCATGAAGTGCAGGGTCTGATGTAGAGTGAGCCTTCAGTAAATGTTTGTTGATTGATTTATGAGGATGAGCTACTATCTGGGACCATGTATAACCTCACATTAGCCACGAAAGCCACTGAGAAAACAGCACTTCTCAGGGGAAGAAAACATTGGATTTGGAATCAAAGGGTTCCTTCCCTTGGGCAAATCATTTAAACTCTATGGGCCTCAATTGCCTGATCTGTAAAATGAGTGTTTTGGACTAGATGGTTTCTAAGGTCCCTTCCAGCTCTGAATCTATGATCTTATCATCCTTAATTGCCCAAAAAGGAATTTTGGTCTTTCCTGATGCTTTATAGATTTTGAGTGTCACACCAAAGGACTGCTGCCTTTTATCAGCCAATCTCAAGATGTTTTTTCTAAAGTCATATTGGGAGCATTAACGGAGCAAGAGAAACAGAAAATTTGCCATCTCATTCTTTTCTTTTTTGATGTCCTGACAGCAGAACCAATCTTTAGAATCCTTAAGAAAAAAAAAAATTACTGTGATACATTCGATCCAAAAAGCTTTTAAAATTAGAGATCCCAGGAAGTTAATTAGTATGTCCTTTTAAGATTGCTTCCTGCATTTTTATCTACACACAGACTTCGGTTTCAAATGCAATTGGCAACTTGCCACATGAGAGGGCAGGTCATCTCTGGGCTCCCGAATATAAGAATACAGACCTTCAAAGCTCCATCTTGGGGGCTGGGGAGAGGATTGGCAGGGAAATGCCATTGTTGTCCTCTTCATTTTCTCAGCTGGTTTGCTCTGAAGTCATGGCACCTTATGGATATAAAGGGCTTTCACCTACATTTTCCAAGACCCTCACAATCCCCTTCCTAAAAGGTATTATTAGTACCATTACATAGAATCTCTACTGGAAAAGACCTCAAAGGGAAAAGAGTACAAGGATGCAGTATCCCCAGAAGGGAATCATTCAGTTTCTGCTTGCCTACCGCCAGTGACAGGAAGCTCATTATATTGCATGACAGACCAGCCTGTAATATGGGCAAACTTCAGGAAAATTTATGGACATTGGGCTTGCCTGACTTGTGATAATATATACCCTTTGCCTAATATTTGTAGTTCAAGATATGGTTTGTGGTGGCCAAAAATTTCATCACCTATTGTCTAGTTCTTATGGCAATCAGAATCTCTGTGCTGAATTGGGCTAGCCCTCAAGAAAGAAACCTTGCCTGAGCCTGTCCGTGAAGCCTTTCCATATTGGTAAGATCTGGTGGCACTCTTTGGTTCCCTCTGTCTCTGTCTGTCTGTCTTACTGTCTTTCTGTCTCTCTCTCGCCTTCTCTCTCTCCCTCTCCCTCCCTCCCTCTCTCTCTCTCTCTCTCTCTCTCTCTCTCTCTCTCTCTCTCTCTCTCTCTCTCTCTCTCTCTCTCTGTCTCCCCCTCCCTCCCTCCCTCCCTCTCTCTCTGTCTCTCTCTCTCTGTCTCTCTCTCTCTCTCTCTCTCTCTCTCTCTCTGTCTCTCTCTCTCTCTCTCTCTCTTCCTCTCTCTGCTGGTATAACCTTTAACAATCCAAGACCCTTCTCATGCCCACTGGGAAATTATTTTAGGTACCTTTTCCCACGTTTATCCTATAGCTGCCCATAGCTATAACATAATCTGATTTAACTCTAATAAACATGGAATTTTAGGGGACCCTTTCCTCCACTTAGTGAGAGTATTGGACTAGACCAGATTGTTGAAGGTTCTGGGATAACTCTTCTGGACCTCAGTTTCCTTATTTGTCAGAGAAAAGTGATAATACTTGCATTGCCTATCTCACAGGGCTACTTTGAGGAAGCTGTTTCAGAAACTAGAGTACTAAAGAAATGTGAGCTAGTTCTCTTACTTTCCCATTTGCTCTAGAGTGAAAATATTCCTGTTCTATACCTTCATACGGGTCAATCAGCTTCCTGATTTGTCTTCATCATCAGCTTCCATGACTTAGAACCCTTTTAACTTCTTTATTTTCTAACTATGTGGGAGAATTGTCTGTTGTCGAATTCACCAGTATCAGGAGAGAAGGCACCTAGAAACAGCACACTATCAAACTGAATTTCAGTCTAGTCTGGGTATTTTGATTCAATTTAATTCAACTTTTTGTTACTATTGGGGTGTAGTAGGGAGCAGTAGGTAGTAAGGGTTTGGTACATGTCTGGGTCACAAGCCCCCTTTGTTGCTGAGTCAGCTCATGTTAACGACATAGGCCATTGCAATGACTCCCAACAATGTGAAAAGCTAATACAGAATATCCACAGACTCCTCCATATTCCCAGAAGCCAGTCTCCTAGCTTTTTCCATGTAGGTGATACCATCTTATTTGGTCTATGTGTACACTAATCTCCCTACTCCATTTCAGGGAGATAACATGGAGAACTTGTAAACCTCATTTCAGATTCTACTTTTGCCATTTTTTTTTATTGTGTAACTCTGGGCAATTGACATAAACTTTCTGAGCCTTGGTGTTCTCATCTATAAAATGGGGATAACTCCCACTTCACCCAGTTATGGTAGGGAATCAAATTAAATAATGTGTAGAAAAGTTCTTTGTAAACTTTAAAGCATTATGTGTAAATGAGAACTAGTATTACTATTATATTTTAGAAAGCACTTTGAGAAAGTACTACTATATAAATGTCATTATTATTATTGTCATCATCATTGTTAAGCACCTGCTGTAGGTGTTATGCAGTGTAAAATACAATTAGTTTTAAAGTTAGAGGACCTGGGTTCAAATCCCTTTCCGATATTTATAATTTGTGTGATATTGGGCAAGTTCCTTCCTTACTCTGGGCCTCAGTTTTCCTCATAAGTTAAATGAGGTGCTTGGACTAGATTATCATTCAGGTCCCTTTCACCTGTCACACCAGCCACTGTGTGAAGTCCTGGGGATACGAGATGAACAGTGCCATAGTCCTTGCCTTCTGAGGGGGAGAGCAGAGAAGACAGAACATACACAAGTAATCATGTCAAATAAAGGTAAAATGTGGTGAGATTGGAGGAGAAGTCCACACAAAGTGCTCAAGAAAAATCTGAAGAGGGAGAGGTCGCATTCAGCTGGCGGAATCAGAGAAGGCTTCTTGGAGAAGCTAATGCCTGAGCTGGGCCTTGAAGAAGGAAGAGAAGGACTGCCAGCTTGGGGGCTGGCCCGTGCTAATATGCAGAAGTGTGGGAAACACCACGTCAAGATTCAGGAGCAGCTTGTCTTCCAGTTAGAAGTTTGGTGGGAGTAAAAACCATGTACATTGGATTAATGTGAGACAAGGCTGGAAAGCTAATTGCACCAAGAGGTGAAATGGTTACTTGTGGATGGGGCCAGTCGATTTTCTGTACCTTTCTTTTTTGAAGCTGACCCCCTCCCCATCCCTCATGCCATGCCATGCTGCCTTTTTGGTAAACACGTTCTTTCTCACCCATTTTCCCTCCTCCAGCCTGAAATTGAGTACAATGAATAGATGTCTCATAAAATCTTTTAATTGTCTTAGCATATGTTGCTTTTATTAGGTGAGAATAATTGCATTCATGGGATCACCTCCAAAGTCCTTTGGAATATAAAATTGAAATGGCTTCACACTCAGTGCACAAGTCCTTCTGAGCCACACTGTTTTCCCCTTCACTGCCTCTTGTCCCCCTTTCGCTGTAAAGTTCAC